GTGTGTTCATAAAAACCAAATTTCTCAAGGCTGTCTTCAGTTAATAAGGAGATAGAAGAAGATGGGAGCAGGAGCTTGATTTAGCTACATATGTCTGGTTTTCTTTCCTACCATCTCAGTTTCTGCTTGTCCTTTTTTCATTGTGAACTGTACAGCTAACCCAGGGAAATTGGACTCCACAGCATAAAGTTAATGCTTGAAAATGTTTTTCTTCTTCTCCCATGTTGTCAGTGTGGAGACATGAAGATAAGCTCCCATGTAACATCATAATACTGTTTTGTTTGATTTATTTTTGTTAGTATTAATACTTTGATCTTTATCTGAAATTGGCCGACACCTTATTTTTATAGTACTTGTTCTTCCTTTTCTCTCCCCCTTTGCTCATTGCTACTTCTTGTACTGTTAGAAATTTGGGTATGGTTTTTGTAAGTGCTTAATGGAGATTAAATACAGGGGCTGACTAACTCGAACAGCTTGTACTGTTAAGTCATGTTGGCACGTTTATCATTCAGTTCTTTGCTGCTTAAGAACGTACTTTAAAGGCTTTATTATCTTTACTTCAGTAACTTACGACATGCTGTGCCACATTTCTGTGCATTTCACCACTGTGAGGGCAACGTTTTGGATCTGATCTTGGTTTTATGAAGTCAATGAGCCTTTAGCTGTAAATGAAGTCAATTCAGATTCAGGTTCTTAATGAATGTCCATTAACGGTGTACTGGAATGTGATATACTTCATCTGGTGAATTATGTGGCAGTATTCTCTTACTGTCTCTCGTTATTTGCTTTAGAAATCGCTGTAACCTGTATTTCAGTAGAGAGCATTTATAGAGATGTCTGAAAGTGAAGCTACACAGAGAATGATGACTATATGATGACATAGCTTTACCGCAAGAATATGCCATGTGGTATAAATCTGGCTGGTTCTTTTCTTGATAGTGTGTTTTCTAAATCAATAGAACAAGCAATCTGTCTAGACTGGTACCATGTGACTGGTAACATTTTCCTGCTAATACTAAGGAAACAGGGTTCACACATGAAAATAGAACAGTTTTTGGCCGTGTTTCTTTTAAATGTGTGTGTTAAGCCTGCAGATTTGGAACACGTTGTTACTTCGCTAATACACGGGAAGTTACAGTACAAAAATCCCTTGTTGACCTTCTTAAATAAATCTCTCCAGCATTAGTTATTTCCTCATTTTCAGTGGGAAGACAGCAGAGTTTAAATGTGTACGGCATATTTAAGTGGCGAGATTGGTGCTCATAAAAAATTCATTGCAGTCTAAACTAGAATCAAATTTTTTAATACAAAGGAAAGGTATTTCTGCTTTGGAGTACTACTGCGTGTATTTGCTGTATGTATGTATGTGCAACTGACTGCTCAGGAAACTACTGTATAATAAGATACTAGCCCTAGATCTAACCCTCCGGAGTTTCTGCTGCTGTTTGAAGCCAAGCTTTCAGATCTTGGCAATTCTGCCCTTATTTTGTTTCAGGAAGGCTGTTTACTTTCCTCAACCACTTTCTAACCTGTTTGTCTCTATAGAAATCATTTGAAATGATCTATAAATGCTCGTGCTCTCTGTACTTAGATATAACACTGCCATTTTTTTCTCTCATAATCTTACAAGTTTAACTGCTTGCAGTTGCTCCCTTGTAATGTTCAAAGATAACCATTTTAATCTGAGCTGTAACTGATGCTGTGATATGTTTCAAGAAAAAAAAATTATTGAAGCACTGAACAAGGATTAAGATTTTTTTTCATTTGTTGTTTTCAGTTTGCTTTTTCATCACCACTTGGTCCTATGCTTCAGTCAAACAAAATTTCAAATTCAAATGAGGAAATTAGATCTGCATAACCATTACATGTCTGTTGCAATCAGTGCATTTCTTTGTGGCATGACAAAAGTCCTTGGCTTTTAATTGTGTTGTGAATCATAATCTCATGGTCTGCAAGTATAAGCAGAACTTGAAAATTACATATCATAGTAAATAATGAGCAGGAAGCTTTCAAAAGATGCGCCTTTGTTTCTGCAGAATGTAAGCCTCAGTAAATACAGAATACGCTCCCAGTTTAGTTTAATGTTTACCAGTTCATGGGTAAACTATGAAGATAGCTTGTCCACAGCAAGACAATTTCTAGTTGAATGGTATTTTTCTTTGAATCAGCATGTCTAGTGGTTGCTTTGAAGACAAAAAATGCAGTGAAATGTGGTGTGTACGTATGCATTACTTTCAAATGGTTCTACAGGCTGAAGATAAGGTGGTGAAATTCAGAATCGCTTTGTATTGGCCGAATTTGTATTGACACGTACAAATGCACTGCAGGCTTCGGTGCACAGAAGGTGTTTTGTAACTGCTAGAACAGAGACTTTCTTCTTTTTATGCAGTTTTGCATGCTGCCCAGCATCATGGGGTCCTAAAGGTTTAGCTGCTTTGGTTATGTAAATAGTAATTCTTGCTTAATGTACAATAATTTTGTGTGAGACCTCTCAACAAAGCTCTGCACTTTTAAAAATGTATTTTCCAATATTGCAAATGAGCTAAATCTAAATGAGAGGGCAAAATTAGTTTGAAAACCATCTTTAAATCAACAGCAAAGTACCAACTTGTTTGTCTGTAAAAATATACTAACATAAACAGTCTTTAAAACACAGTTTTGAAGTTTCCATGGAGACCTAAGCTGCAGAAGTTGGCTCTATCATAAAACATGTATGTTTCTGAGAAAATAGGATTTTCATGCACTTTGAGGTATTTGAGTTCAACTTTACTATTTTTAGATTCTGCCATTTATGCTGTCTGATAAAAAAGCTGCATAGCTGAGGATTGCACAGATGTTTTCAAATAATCATAATGAAAAGGTCTGAGTGTTTGTAGGTGTAGTCTGGATAGCTGGCACATAAAAAAATGAAGCATTCTCTAGGCATAGCTCTTAGGAAATGTGCTTGATTGTAACAGCATCCTGGACCGCGTCAACAAGAACGTAGCCAGCTCACATGTTGGTGAGACCACACCAGTTTTGGGTCCTCCAGTACAAGATATTTATGAACTAAAGTGAGTCCATGAGAAGACCTCACGTTGTTTGTGGGCAGGAGCTCCTGCCCTGGGAGGTTAGGCTGAGGCAATTGGGCTTGTTCAGGCTGGAAAAGAAGCATTTTCGAAGGGAGCGAAGTTACCTGCCTGTACCTACAAGAGGATCAAAAACATCAATGGTGCATGGTGGGATAATGAGAGATGAGGAATATAAATTGAAATGAGAGAATGTCTCATATAGCTGACCCTACTTTGAGTTAGGAAGTTGGACTTAGAGGCTGTTTCAGGTCCTCTTCAGTGCAAATGATCTATCCAGATTTTCTACGAGGCAAATGATGGTGCAATAAAGATTTAATTATTCTCAATTGAGTTGGATCTTATCCAACATATTCCTAGTGATTTTCCAGCTGTACCACTGTAGAGCAGTCGTAACCCATGTTTAGCCACCAGGATAAGCAGAAGAGGTGGATACAGCTGAGAAAAACCTAGTTGCACTTCAGAAATTTTGTTTCCAATTTGGGCATTACAGGCCAGCCAGACTCAAACGGCTGGTCAGCTGGGGCTAGGGGTGAAGAGAAACGTAGATAACACTTCTGACATCTTTGCTTTTCCCATCTTGCACGTCTCTCGCTGCAGAAATAAATTTGTTACATTTTCTACGAGGCTGTATCTTGGAGAAAGTTATCGAAAGCATGGAAAGTTTGTTTTTTTGTAAACTTCCCATGCATGAATTGCCAAGTTTGCTCAGAGATTATCCATAATGGCCCTATTATAAAATCTTAGAATCGTTCTAGTTGGAAAGGACCTTTAAGATCATTGAGTCCAATTGTCAACCTGGCACTGCATGTCCCTAAACACTGCATCAACTCGTCTCTTAAATACCTCCAGGGATGGTGGCTCCACCTTGGTGACAGGGAATGGGGGTTGTGGTCAGTTCATCTGTCTCTGCTGCTTGTTACTCCTCAGGGGGGAAGGATCTTCACACTCTGTCTCTGTTCCAGCCTGGCCTCCCTCCCACAGGATAGTCTTCCGGTATTCTCCAGTGTGAGTCTTTCCCATGGGCTGCAGTTTTCTTCGTGAACTGTTTCAGTGTGTGTCCCTTCTGTGGGGTGAAGTCCTCCAGGAGCAGCCTGCTCCAGCACAGATTTCCCACAGTCACAGCCTCCTTCAGGTGCAGCTGCCAGCTCTGGTGGGGCTCTCTCTGGGCTGCAGGGGGGTCTCTGCTCCCCTGTGACCCTCCATGGCTGCAGGGCACAGCCTGCCCTCTCACCACGGGCTGCCGGGGAACCGCTGCTCCAGCCCCCTCCTCCCCGCCTTTCTGCACTGACCTGGTGTCTGCCTGGTTGTCTCTCTCACATCCCAGCCCTCTCTCCACTGCAAATTTTCCTTGTTTTCCACTCTCAAATATGTTAATCTGCAGAGGCGCTGACTGGCTCGGCTATGGCAGGTCTGACTTGCATCTGGGAAAGCTGCTAGCAAATTCTTTCAGGAACCACTCCTGTAGCCCCTCCACCTCTACCAAAACCCTGCCACACAAACCAAACACAGTCTCCTAGGATCATCTTCCTATCTGTGAAAATTAATATTGGTTAAATACTAGCGTGGCCATGTTGACATTTGTTTAGCAAGAATCAATAACAACATACTACACATCTAATCTTGGTTCTAGGATAAATGGATTTTATTGCTTGTGTTTCTCTGCGTACTAGGATATACAATATCATTCTTCCAAATGACAACCAGTCTTCTATTTCGTATTGATTTTTTTAGTAATTTTTTTAAATGATTAAGTAAATCACTACCTTTCACTAGTCTCTCCCTTTTTTAGTAATACAGATGAGACTTTTAGAAAGACATTATTTATTCTTCTACATCTTGAGGAAGGTAGCATCTGAAAACAAGTTCAAAATGAGATCTACTTTGCTGTGGTGTTGTTCAACATAACTGTTCATATTTGTTTTCTTGCAGTGAAAGATTTTTTTTAAGACTGAATAGAAATGGTTTGCCAAAATGTCCAGAAAAGCCTGAAAGACACTGTTCTCTCTTTGTGGTGAGTTATTCCTATTCTCAGTCTTTGTTGTGCCGAGTATTGAAAGTAGAAGTTGAATTAAATTATTATTCTGCGGTTGACTCAGAACTGCTCCCTAAGATTTTACATTGTTACGAACATCAGCTCTAAAGGTTAGTTGGAGTGTATTGCTACATTCCCACATTGAACATTTTCTGGTAATAGTTGGACGCTCACCAAATTCCACATGGACATATGTACCAATTTTTCTCCCTGCAACAAGGACCACTTAGTTTTTTTCCTTAATATCCTCCTTTTTGGTTTTACGCCCAAAAGATTGTTTGTGCAGCACTCTGTATTTTCAGAATATTGTGAATTGCACAAATGCATCGCTGCTGTTCAAGGCACACAGTGAGTCTCTTGTGTCATCCCACTGATCTTACTGCATTACAGCCCATGATATTTTAGGATAGTTGTTTTGAGTGCATGACTGCCAATTTGAAGTGTTAAAGGGATAATTTGTTAATGCCTTATAAATGAAGTCACTGTTTGTTTATCATTTTCACTGACAGCAAAAACAGTGTGTAAAGATCTCTTTAAATGTCACATTTTAACCAGGACTTGGAAATAATGTGGTTCTGATCTTGCACAGGATTTGGGCAGCAGTGAACTCAGGAAGGACATCTATATCACAGTGCACATTATCCGAATAGGTGGGTACGATCGTCTTGGAGTAGAAATTGTTTGTTACGCATATGACAGTAAATAAAAGAAAACTGCTTGGGGTCAGCTTTGGGATTTGTTACATTAGCTAGGCCTTTTAATAAATTTTTCGAAAAGAAAATGCCTGGTTTTTGATGGAAAAATTGCTTTGGATTTCTCACCGTTGTTTTATGTTATTTTTCAAGCATACTGCTAAATGAGTTTAGATGCAGGATATTTTGTTACTATCACAAAGCAAAATGAAAGTGTCAGGTATAAACTGTCTTAAGATGATGGAGGAGTTCCTGGGGAGTCTATTCTTGTCTCAAAGGGAGTCATTTCAAGCATCCTTTGTTCATAGAAAAACTTGTCTGGAAATTTAATGTACCTAGCTAATATATAATATCGGATATATAGCTCAAATCTGATGAATTTGGTCTTCTCTTTGACCCCTTGAAAAAAGAGGAGAGGGAAGGAAGTGGAGGAAGGCTCATAATAATTTTAATCCATATAGGCAGATATCAAGTTCTCTGGAGCAAAGCGGAAGAGAAGTAAAGTCTATGTTTGTGTTAGGTATTTTATTTTAAGAAGCTGTCCTCTGGGCTGTACTTATGTGAAACAATAATCTTTGGGTCTGCGTCTGACCTCTTCGATGTATTATTTTCATTATAAACATCTTTGGGTCTGCGTCTGACCTCTTGGATGTATTATTTTCATTGTCATCTCTGTAGTTGCATCAGTGCAGTACTAAATATAACATTTCTTCTATTTTTGAAAGGTGTTTTGGTTTGAAACATAGTTGCTTTAACTTGTGCTCAGTTCAGAAACTTGTTACTAAGTAAATGCTCTTTTACAGCTTTGAGGAATAATTTTTCCTTGCATTTTCATGCTGGTTTATTGTTTCATCAGAATATCAAATTGCTGTGTTCTGGTTTTATTGGCAAGGATTGGGAAAAAGTAAACTGCTGCAATGCGAGTATATTTGGTAAGAAATAATACTTTAAAGAAGAATAAGGAGAAGAATTTTTCCTGTTCTATAATTTCCATATATATTCTCAATCAAGTTTATAAATGAACCGCTGAAATATTAGAAAGTTAAAATAAGATTTATATGCTGCATATTGTGAAAATGAACAATTACTCTACTAGCTGCTGTGATGCACAGGAATATTTGGAGGAGGCATTGCCCTGCAGCAACCGCAACTAGAGGCTTTTCTTGTCAGAAATTAAGACTTGGTGGGAAAGATACATAGCTGCCAGTGCACAATTGAATAAAATGGTTAGGAAGAGGGCAGTTTCAAATGCCAGAAAGAGAGTGAGAAGATTGATCAATTGTATTTAAATCAAATAGAAAAGACTAGGAAAAATACTTTGCTTCAAATCTGTTTTCCTTGGCTGCTTTCTTTCTTGCCTGATCATAAATTGTTCCTCTGCCCTTTATCATCTTTCCTCACTGTATTTCATCTCTACCTGATCTTAGTGTTATCCCCGTCATAGCCAGTTAGCTATTTGGAAGCAGCATTTGATTACTAAATTCTAATGGCTCAGTCACAACAGCTCTCATATGAATCTTGGGTAGCAACAACCACAGCGCAATAATTCTTATTGGACAGCAAATGTTGAACACTGTCATGTCTGAACTCTAAATTTAATTTGCTGGTCTGATGAGTGTGCTATCACTGGGTATCAGAAGGTGTTTTGTTGATTAGAGGTCATGAGAGGATGAGTAGTACTTCTGGTCTGAGACCTTGCAAAATCACTATGAATGTAGTGGACTTCCTGAACTATTTCTCATACAAGTGTCATATGAAGATGGACCAGATTGGCATCATCTGCTCAGACCTGTCACCATACTGAGCTGGATTGCTCTCTGCCTCCCTTCAGTGGTTTTAAGAGAGGCAGTTCCATTGATTATGCATTAAATATGTATTTTGTTTGGCAGGACGAATGGGAGCTGGAGAAAAGAAAAATGCCTGCAACGTACAATATAGGAGGCCCTTTGGCTGTGCCGTCCTCAGTATTGCAGATTTGCTGGCAGGAGATTCAAAAGATGACCTCGTCTTAAAAGTATACATGTAAGGAATGCTTTTTCCCTACTTTTCAGACATATCTTGGAGTCAGTTTGCATCAGAAGCAGCGGTGTTAAATGCAGTACAAATAAATAGCTGTAGCTATTTCTGTTCCAAAAAATTGGATTACCTTATTTCTTTTATTTTTGTCCCAGTTTGGAATTTGGCTAGTTCTACAGACGTGTTTATAAAGTGGGATAATTTTAAAGATAAAGGTTATATCCTTATAGATCTTTGTGTATGTTTCAGCATTTTTCACATTCTTGTAAGAGCTTCTGGAGCTCTTTTTATGGCAACATGAAGTGCTTTTAGGACTTGTTTAAACGTCTTTTGCTGCCTAGGCAGCTAGTGGAAGTACTTTATAACTACGGAATAAAGAAGGCAGACTATCTTTCTGTGAAATTAAGCAATTATATAATGGCAATAACACAAGTGTAAAAGGCAGTTAGTGCTGGAACATGAAAACTCAAAAATAGATTTTGAAATGATTGGTTGATTAAATAGTGGATTTTGGCTGATAGGAATTGGAAGAAACTTCAAATTTCTAGTTCTAGCAACACAGGTATGGAATTTTCTGCTGATCTTTAACATCATAGTAAGAAACATTTTATGGCGTGGTCTAGTCTAAGTACATAAACCTGGGACACATATTGTCATGCACGTGAGGAAGTTTTGCTCCTCCCAGGCTTAGCACTCAAGCCTTGAAGGCATGGAAGTCTTTCAGGCAGCCTTTCTCCTCACCTCTGTACCCCCCTGTGCTGAATTATACCTGCTGGAATCAGTGCAGCAGAATGTGGCAGTGGACATGTGGGCTGGCTCTTATTTAGACTCCCAGGATGTTAAAGTCAAATAAGGTTATTGGTTAAGAAAGTGTTAGTTTTGTCTGCCTTTTATATTGATGTTTTGGTGTGGGTTGTGGTGTGGTTTGGTTTTTTTTTTTTAATCTTGCCTGTTTGCTTTAAAATAATGGAAACACTGGAAGAAATGTCTCTCAAAACCAAATTTGATGCTAAGACTAACTCCAGTCTACACCCTGCAAAGTGATCATTAGAACATGGTCAGTTTTTTGTTATGGAAAAGCAGCTCTTTTCTAAGTGTATCCTGAAACGTGTTTCCTCTGTCACAGACTACCTCCTGAAGATCACATCTGGTTTTAAATAACTGAAGTGTACAGCACAGATTTTTCTGTCTGCTAAGACTGACTTCGAGTCCTGTATCTCCTCTTGAGTGTCACAAGATAGATTTCTGTGTGGTTTAGCGCTGAAGGATAGATCTATACAGATGATGGACTTGGTCACGGCTGAGTTCCTGAGCATAATTGCTCTTATCTTTCTCCCACCCTTTGCCACACAAATCAGATATTTCCGTGGTGCCTTTCTCAAATGGTAAGAGCACTCTCACCCTTTCCACAGGCAGTTTCATGAGGCTTTATTAGCTCCAGTTGTGTTACTAGTTTCATGACAAAAAAGGGTTTGTTTACAGATACGTGGTGGTGAAGCCGGTCTGAAAAACTTGTGGTTTAGAGTTAAGAAAGTTATCGTTTTTCTAGGTGCAACACAGAGAGTGACTGGTATCAGATCCATGAAAATATCATTAAAAAACTGAATGCACGTTACAACTTGACGGGCTCTAATGCAGGTGAGTAAGTTGCCATATTTCTGTTTGCATTCTTCAGGGTTTTGTAGTTTACAAACAATGTGGCTCTATTTTAGAAGGACTTGATGTCTATGAAAGAAATATTTTTCCACATACAGAAGAATAATTGTATTAGGTGAAAATGTATGATATTGCCAGTCATGTGCACATTTTAAAAAAAAAGAGCCACTGATTTTCCTTCAGTGAGTTACATAATTTTATTCTGTGCTGAGAAGCTACAGTTTGCTGTGGGGTTCTGTTCATGTGTGGGGCTGATCAAATTATTGATCCCTGTTCCTTGACATTTTCACATCACATTTTCATCAGGAATATAAAACTTGCCATTCAAATTTTATATTAATTGAACTTCAGAGGAACATGAATTGGGAGCTACTAGTGTGCTCTGCAGTCCTATTGGCCAGCTGATCAAGATGCACAGTTGATATTTAGGAGCTTATCAGTAGTTTGCTGTAATCAGCTATATGTCACTGTAACTGTTATCAAAATAAATCCAGGTGTGACATAAAATGGGATACAACTCATGTTTGTTATTTTGAGCTGATGGTTTGACCCATAAGAGAAGTTGGGGTCACTGTTTTTATTGTTGGTTTTTTGTTGTTGTGTGTTTTGTTTTGTTTAATACCAACTTGTTAAGCTTTTCTGAATGCTCTCATCCAGGGATGCAGTCAGACTTGAAAAGAAATCTGAAATGGAAGCTTATGAGTCTGTTTTCTTTGTATTCGAATATTGTTTTGACCCTGTGAAGCATTAATTAGTTGAAATATGACAATAGAAAGAGCTCATGAACTCATTTTTCAGGTTGTACTGTAATTGTAATCCCTTTCATATAGTAGATTTCATGCTCTTTAACTTGATTTCAAGCATAATGATTATCTTGAAAATGTATGTTCAGTAATCTTTATTGGATAACGAAGCAGCACATAAAAGTTTATGTTGCCTATCAAGACTGAAGTTATATCTTTAATCATTATTGCTATAGTATTACTAATAGTAACCATATTATTATTTTCTCATGTAGAGTCTAGCCACATATATATGTACATTTAAGATTTAGGATATCATATGTCTTATTGGATAATAAATATAAAAACTGTACAGTGAAAATACAAGAGCACATTACTGAGTAAGTATAATGTTGGGCTTCTTAAATATGTTAACCATATCCATGAAGAACACCCTGCATTTGGTCCTTCTAACTGCCCATGCAGTACTTGCTTACTCTGTGATACATTGCTTATCCTATTCTTTTCTCATGAAATAAGAGTTCACCATTAAATACCCATTTGTCCTAGGAGACATTGGATAATTTGAACACTCTTAATTACGTGAATATTCAACATGAAAGACCTGGGGGACCTAAATTTTTTTCCAGGTTACAGGGGGCTGGAACATAAAGCTAGCAAATTGAAAATTAGTTGCATTTTGAAAAGTGTTGGCAGGAAGAGGGAGGCAGAGAGAAGAGCAACACAGAATTCCAGCTGTGTGTGTGAAGGCTGAGAGGGGAAGAGACAGTGGGCAGTAATGCCACCGTGAGTACCGAGCAACTAAAAGATAAGCTATGAAAGGTTATTTACATTACAGATGTGAAATTTGTTCCTCTGTGACTGCTTAGCAGCCTGAAAAGGCACTTGCAAGGCTTTACCAATGCCTTCAGATACTTCTGCTGACACCTCATGGAAAATATTGTTGTTACGCTGGATTGTATTTTTCCTTTGCTGCCTTTTTCTGTGATAGCATTGAATGGTTGGGTCTGAAGCCTCGTTAGCCTTGTCTGCCATATTATAGTTGTCAAAAAAGGATAATTTCTTGCATTGTAGGAGACACTGGGTTTTTTTGTTTTTTTTTTTTCCCCTCTTTCAGGAACCCTTATAAGTATGAGCCAAATACAAGAAAACTTAAATTTTTGGTTTATATCACACTTGCCCTTTTCAAATCACATTAAAATGACTTAAGAAAGGAAACACAGTAAACAAACAATAGCAAACATGCTGCAGACTTATCTATCCTCTAGGCTCATTCCTGCTTGAGATTCTGTCCTGTGCAGTTTCTTTCAGCTCAGAAGATTTACACATAAAGTCTTTAGTTTCCACAAAATGTTATGTCCCACTGCTGAAAGTTTAGATAATTCATGATATTTTTTCAGAAAATAAATCTTTCATTTTCCTGGGGAAAACTGAAAAGGAACTCAAACCATACTTTCAGTGTCTTGCACGTAGAACGCATATCGCCAGGCTATAGCGTTTGTATTTAGCAGTCAAACCCCCACTCCCCAAGAAAGTACTTTTTCTACTTCAACTCATGACAGTGCTTAAGTACAGAATCTGCTTGCACCTTATGCTCAGCTTGTGTCTAAAACAGATCATATAAAGGCAAATGACTGTCACTTTTAATAGATTCCAGAAAGGACCAGGGTACAGATGTTCATCCCTTTTCCTCTTCTCAGTGGATGCTGGAATGGAAGGACTCAGTTTCATGGATAATTTAGCATCATTTGCTGGAGTGGGAGCTGGAATTTTCCTGCATGAATTTCCAACATAACAAAGACTGGAGTAGCAAGTAGTGGATCAAATTCTCCTTCACCACTAGTCTTTGTAGCTGGTGTCAGGTATCAGCTTACTGGAAGACACCTTGCTGCTAGTTTAGGAGATAAAACAATTAATGCAAAAGCCAAATTGTACAGTATTTACTGCATTTAGTAGCACTGTTATTTCTTACATTGAGGTTGTAGTATTTGTAGAATAAGTACTATTAGATCTAGATGATTTCTTAATTATTAAGCAAACCAGGTTTGAGTAGTATCTGGAATAGTAGTATTTTTTTTTTCTATAATGCTTTTTCTTAGAATTAGAAACCAGTCACTTTGATTTAAAAGGCAAAAATCCATGGAAGAAGAATGAATATTCTTGCATAGAGATCGCACCTAATTACAGCAGTCTTACAAGGAAAACAGCACATTTCTCTTCCTGTATCTGTAGGACCAGACATCAGTGAAACATATATTACAGATACAGAACACAGTTACTGTGTTCAAACCACATAAAATCATCCTTTATCCCCTTATAGTATATTTTAGGTAGTGAAGCCTAGCCAAAGTCATGCTTTCATATCACAGCTTGGGCTTCTGTCAAATGTCAAAATCTCTTTGTAGGGTTTCCAGTGTGGGTCATAGTTGCTGATCTAATTCTTTGTCTGTGACTCTGAAACTATACTCTGGACCTTTTTTGCAACTACAATAAACGAATAGTGTTGGATGTGGGCTGCTTTTCTCTTTAATAAAGCAGGCACTAATGCACAAAGTGCCTTGTAAACTGTTATTGATTGTATAATAGCTGCTTCATTTGCCCACGGAATTAATGTGCCATGAGTGAACCTGTTGATTTTTAAAATGGTGTGAAGTACATCTTAGGACAAAGTGCAAGAGAACAAGTCCAAATCTGATTGTCATTAAACATGATTATATTTAAAAAAAAAAAAAATTCAGAGAATTCAACTCCAACTGTACATACTTACGCAGTCATGGATTTCTTTTTTTTTTCCTTCTGATTATCAGTATGAGTTTATCATGTACAACTTCATTTTCCGGCCTATGACACTACCTTTTTTGGGTTTTTACCTCTAGTTCTTTGGACTTTCAAAAGTTGAAATTTTTTTTTTTTTTTTTTAATACAGCACATGGTGGAAAGAATGTCTAGTCATTGAGCATTCCTTTGGGTTCTGAAAGTAGAGTAGAGAGTTCTTGTCCACAAATATTACCCACTTATGACTGTGAGCAAGTTACACAGTTAAACAGTGATGGTTTTGACTGTATTCCCTACTTAAATGCCACTGGCATCTTTAAAGTCCTTCTTTAAGCAGTTCTTCCTACAGGCACCTAAAGCTAAGGTCACTTTCATTTCTGCTGCTGCTTGAAGTTGAGAACAGGTTGGGTAGCTGGGTGTACCCAGGACACTTACACCATCTGCATAACAGTGGGCTAGATTTAGCTTCCTGAGCACTAGGCTGACAAAAAATGCTGGAGATGATAGCTCTAACTCTCGTGCTCATGCTGTTTCAGGGAATATGTGAATATTCACTGAGTTTACCATAGAAACTATTTACTCTGATGTTTGAGACATTCTTCAAAGACAGAAAATTTTTTGGTTCAGACTGATTTGGAAAAGGCTTTTCAGTCTGTCTCACATGTCCCAGATGAGTGTGCTAATCGCTTGGCTTCTCAGACTTCCCTGCAGCAACTATTCAACTTTGTATACAATCAGAAAATATTCATTATACCATGGGGAAAACAAAAGTGGCTCAAAAGCCTGCCAAGAAGCGCATGATTTTTCTAAGTGTGATCTGTATTTCTGTCCTCTTAGCATATCCTATAGATGAGAGATTTAAACCCTGGTCTTGTGTGTTACATGTGAGTGTTCTCCCCAGTGAGTTATCTTATGAAAATCATATTAAAATAATGATGAAAAATGCACTAGAAGTTCCTCTTTTTCCACCCTCCTTTGAGAAGAGTGACTGGATAGCTTAGTTAGTCTGGATCCAAATCCAAGCTTTGGACTCTTGTGTGGTTTGCATGAAAATAGCAAGTGTAGTGGGAAGGACTTCTTTGCTATTATCTTGGAATGCTCTGATGAACTACACAAGAGTGATGTAACCTAATTTTATGTTTACTGAATGCAGCGTGGGGTGTCCTGTGGTAGCAATGCCAAACCTACATTGCAACTCCAGTGGAAACACTGTTAATTACACAGTAGCTGTAATTGATGGGAGGGCGTTCAGCTTTAGAGGAAACACATTCAAAATGGTGGGAATTCTCTTGCCACTCTTGGCTCACGCATGATTTCTTCCTTCCCCCTCCCCCCCCCCCCCCCCCCAATATGGTGGCAGCATTAATTTTTCAGCTGCTGCTTAGGAGGTCAAAATATAGCTCTTGAAAAATCTGCATAAGTCATATCCTCTTGCACACAGTTTAGACTGTAAAAAGAAAAAAA